TAGTCGATCCCTCACTGAGATGCCCATCCCAACCGATTATAGATTGTGTCAAGTTGGTGATTAAAAATGACTGTCACAAGTGTCAACCACACTGGTTCTCTTGCTTCTTAACCCTTCTTTCTCTTTTTTCTACCCCAAAGTAGAGCTCTGTTTCAGAAAAAGCATTTGCTTCAAGACTTTGACTTCAAAGGCGAGAATAGGTTTGTCATTGCCATCATGTATTCTGTGAAATTATTTCTGAAGTGATTCGTCCTAAAGTCTTCCACCAAAATTTTATCTGTAAACTTCATATAGACATGGAAATTTAATTTACACACCCTCTGTTTATGTAATTTTGGGAATTGACATACGTTATCCTATGATTTCAAACATGAGAAGTTTAAGAATGTAATTAAATAATTGAAAATCATGCCTGCAGATTCCTTGTGTGCTGACGTAACAGTAAAAATGTCAAAGCTTGAGCGTGGAATAGACACAGTTAGCACAGACCAGGAATGAGAATGAGAAGGGAGCCTAGACGTGGCTGTGTATTCAGTCCCTAGAATGTTCCATCATTTCCTTACGTGTGGTCTTTTTTCAGGAACATGTAGCCGAGGTATATTTTATCTAGGAACATTGCTATTGTCCTCCAAGGCCTGAAAATATGACTATTGGTAGTTGCATATCAAAGTTCAGAACTACTGTTAAAATTCCAGATGCCTAAAACAAAATGCTTTCATACTTCTCCCTACATCACTGGCATATATCCTTCCAAATGCTTACCAGTTTATACTAGCAGTAAAAAGGGACAAATATAAAATTCTAATACCATCCATTTTAAATACCACGACAGCATTAATATTGGTAGGTGCTAATCCTTTTAAATTCAGTGAGGGATCATCTGGAAACCGGGAGGACTGGCCTTAGAATGTGTACAGTTCCCCTTGTGACTTTGGAAGCTCTGACTCTTATCTAGGCACAAGGGAAGCATAAGCAGACATTGAAGTACGACACAGGACAGTCCAGTATAAAGAAAACCAAACAAAACAAAGACAACAGAATAACCTTCAGAAGTTATGTTTGAGATGAGTTTAAACGTGGAAGCCCACTCTCTAATTCCGCCATCAGTTCATTTCAAGACGAAAACGCCAGGCTTCTCGGAGAGTATGAGCTTGTCACAGGGATCATGGTGACTCCTTCCTGTAGCGGACAGTGATTTCCTTCAAATGTAACTTCCTCTGGTTTGTTAAAAGAATTACTACTTTCAATTCTCCTTTTGATGTTTTCCCCTCTCCCACAAGGCCCCCTTTCCTTTAGGAAGGTCAGCAAGCAAGCACTGAGACCATCAAAACAACGAAGTGAGCAAGTGTCAGAATAAGTGCCTGGTTCACACGCATGGATATCCTGGTTCTCAACCTTTTGCCTATAAGGTGGAAGGCCCCCATCTTCACTGCTACCTCATCCTCTCTGTTGGTGGTTTCCAACCACACCTACAACGACAGGACTTGTTCCTGTTCCACACTCTCCTGCAACTGTAGCTCCTGGCACTGTACAACCTAAAGCCAATGGTAGGAGCTAGTGTGTGTATTCAGCATGTAAACTACCCCAGCATTATTGAAGGTACTGCATCAATTTTGATACTTTTGAGGGAGTGCATCTCATCTTGGCTGCTGAGTGTAATCCGTGGATATTTGACAAAACAAAGAATTTTCCCATTGTCACAGAGCAAAGTTCAGCACCGCTACTGAAATTCTGATGTCCATAAACATGAATGCTTCTTTCATTCATGCATCCATTAAATTCACAAATGTCCCACTTGAGGCTAATTTTATTTTAACAATAAAACAGAAAATAGTCTAATACGGTTGCAAACAGACCATGGCAATGCTCACAGTAGCACACACTAATGCAGCCCATATTTGACACAGAGACATCTAGAAAACTTTAAACATGAACATCATAAAAATGTTTTCTTTTTTCATGAAAAATGATCTGAAAGATGGATTTACATATAGGAGTATAAAGAATGTGACCAAATGTTGGGGCACAGGAGAGTGGCAGGGCATTTACCTGGCTTGGGTAAGGCTCGGGGTTCTTGACTGTGCTGCTCAGCACCACAAAACTGGGCAGAAACAATTAAAATCAAAATGAAACCTCAGACGTGGTGAATTATGCGATATTAAGACACAACTAAAGTTAAGACTGTTTACTGCTCCTGTAGAGACCCAGAGTTTGGTTCTCAGCATCCACGACGGGTTACTCACAGCCACCTGCAACTCTGGCTCCAAGAACTCTGACTCTGGCCTCCACAAGCATCTGCATCCACATTTACAAAGAGAGAGAGAAGGGGGAGGAAAAAGGAGGATGGAGGGAGTGTTGTATGAATTCTTACAGCCAGTAGCCTTTAAGTTACCTGCCCACTTGTGTGTCGCCTCTTATACTATTTATGCCTACTATACTATTTATAATCACGTGTCGGGCCTCTTTTCAGGCTGTGAGATTTGTTTTTTGATCCTCATTCCACAGGTTGTGATCTGTGAGTGTACCCCTAAATAAATAACCCTCTAGTGTTTTCAATTCTGACTAGTGTGGAATTTCTTAAGGGTCCTTACTCAATGGAGAGCAGAGGAGAGGAGAGGAGAGGAGAGGAGAGGAGAGGAGAGGAGAGGAGGAGAGCAGAGGAGAGCAGAGGAGAGCAGAGGAGAGCAGAGGAGAGCAGAGGAGAAAGTGAGATTTTAAGAAACAACTATAAAGCACAAATTTAAACATAGAGGCACAATTTTAACTCCTCGGTGATTTTATTTCATGATGAAAATCTCAGACTTGGGAAAGTTACATGGCTGTCAGAGGAAATCATTGATAATTTCTTGTAGTGATCGACATGATTTTTTTCTGTTGTGTGGCTCCAGATCGTATGGAATGAAATCAATTAGCCTTTTCAGGATGATGTCCCTTTCTGGTGTCTATAGCTATTATTGCTTTTGAAATTCCACCAAAAAGAAGTGACACCAAGATAAGAGCCATACGAGTAAATAAAACAAGCAATATCTTGTTCACACTCACGTGTATTTTGGCTCGAAACCTTTTCTTAGAGGAAAGTGTAGGGCCACTGTCTACACTGCCACCTGCTCCACTTTCTTCACAGGTTGGTGGCTGCCAACCTTGCATACAGTGACAGTTGCCTCTGTTGTTACATACCCCTCTGAAATTACAGTGGCTGATGTTGCAATTAAAATTAAAGTTTTGATGAAAAATACAGGCTTTACCTCTGCAGAATTTCCCTGCGCCACAATTTGCACCGTCTACTACAAGCCCCATTTCTGGAACTTCTGTCCCATGGTGTGCATCATACCCAAAGCACTGTTCTTCTTTAACACCTTGTACCTTTATGTGATGAAATGTAGTGTGCTCACCACCACCAGGAACACGACTGACACCATCACAATGAAGCAGTCCACAATAAATACCGTCATCTTCACAAGCGAGAGGTTTGCTTCCTCCTCGCTGTTTCGTTACTCCACAGTTTCCAAATCGATCACCTATGGCATTTAATTTATAGCATATTGGGGCAGCATCCCTAACTCCATATCCAAAAAGAGCTTGGCACTGCAAATTACGATCACTGCAATTTCCTGACATGCAAACTGCTAGTGGTGAGCAGGGAGTTCCATCCTGGATGTAAAAATTTTCTGGGCATTTCTGGGAGGTTCCATCACAGTATTCTGGAAGATCGCAAATGCCAAGTTTGTCTCTGCACATAGTTCCAAAAGGTGCAAATGAACAGTCTTTACAGCAACCTCCTAAATTACAAGTACTCCCTTGAGTAAAGATGCAAGTGGTTGTACAGCACCTGTTATAGGCGCACTCTTTCAAGGAGCCGCAGTCACATTCCTCAGTCTTGTCCACCTTCTTATTTCCACAACGAGGAACTTCATATTTATAACTTTCATATAGAACACGATTTTCACTCAGGCATTCGTCCCATTCATGGATCCTCTTATGTACTGCAGCTTGGGAGCAATTACTTAACATATCCGTGAGAACAGGATAATCATGCATGAGACAGTTCTTTCTTCTGAAACAATAGCAGCCTGGAGCATCATGTTCTAAACCCATAACATGACCTGTTGAATGAGACATAAAAATTGCTACCATAAATGCATGGCGGCTTGCAGCATTTACATATGATATTGCCTCTCTGTGCTTGCACAGAGTGTTTATTCGACCCATGTAGTCAATGTTTTCAAGTCTAATTCCTGATAAAATAACTGCAGTGGAGATCTTGACGTGTTGATTAACTTTTTCTTGACGATTGCCAAATGTGTTCAACAGTCCATTAACATCACGTGCATAGAGGCCTATGTTCACTGGGTCATATGATTCCCACATAGTTAGAGCACCTGCAACGACATCTATGCCACTTAGTTTGTAAATGGTGTTTGATATGCTGTTCATAATCAATATCATCTCAACTGCACGGGTTAAATTCTTGAACGCATTGGTCACTACACAACTCATCGTGTAGTGGACTCGTAGTACTTTGACATGCACGCGCCACAAATAGACTGGAGCTGCTCTGGGACTTCCAACAAGCTTCGTCTCTTCAAGGGATTCATCTGCCTCTGCCACCTGCTCTTCGTTTCTACACCTTTTAGACTCAAGTGATCTTTCTTCCACCACAAGCAGAGAAATTACATGCTCAAATTTGGAAGAAGATACCAGTGGTTTGATTTCATAAGTGAAGTCATCCACCTGTAGCATGCCATTGAGACCTCCATTGCAGGTGTCTAGTGTGGCCTGGGACCCAGGGACCCCTTCCAGGTAGCTGTAGAAGTAACAGTCTCGAGGAACAAATGGGTAGTCCTCCTGCTCGGCTCCTTGGTCGTTAGTAGTGTATACAGGCAAATTCTCAGGAATCATGGTCTTCTTGAGCTTCATGTGGACCACGTGTCTTTGTCCCCTGAAACGTATGCTGTAGGTGATCTCGGCTGGCATATCACTTCTACCCATCCTCTGGGGAACCTTCCTGGGAATCATAACTTCAGAGGTAGTGAAGCGCCATTTTGGCGGGCTGTGGGAACAACAGACAGGGCACAAAAGTACCCAGAGCACAGATAGCCAGAGAGAACCTCCCAGGAGGACCCGAGTCCAGATAGATGCCCGGAAGGGGGCCATGAACAAAAGCAAATGTAGTCCACTGGGGGCAGACGAGACTAAGACCCCAAAGTTTACACCATGGCATGAGGAGAAGAGAGTGAGGCAAGAGGCTGACAAGCTCTGATGAGTAAAGCCAGAGATGCTGTTACATAACAATGCTGTGCTCACCCAAGCATTGTGTGCTCAGTGATCTGGAGAGCCTATGGCAAAGGCTGAGAACAAAGGGGGAAGCCACTTGGAGAAATTAGGATATATTTATAGCAAAACATTTATAATTCTAAGACTTGTATCTTATCTGTCCATTTTTCATATTTGACACAATTACCAATCCTCTTTTCTTATTTGTTACAAAACCTCAGTATGACCATTGAGGATTAAATGAATTACCAGACTGACAGTAATTATAATTGGTATATGTCAATCTCAGATAAGTCATTTAGTTTTCCATTTTTTGCTTCTATTTTCATGTAAAGTAGCACTATACTGGGTACTAACACCTTGTATTATATTCCCCATCCTTTACATAGGAAAGATTTTTCCTTTTAATATTACTTAACTCTCTTCGTCACTACTTCCAAGCTATTCTTTTTTTTTTATTTTCTAACACAAAAACTATCTTTTTTATTTTACATACCAATCCTAGTTCCTACTCCCTCCCTTTCTTCTATCCCCTCCAGCATTCCTTCCATCTCAATTAGCAATCTATTCCTCAGAGAAGGTAAGACACATTGCTTTGGGAAAGGTCCAAGGCCCTCCCTAGTATATCTAGGCTGAGTAAGGTATTCATCCAAAGAGAATAGGATCCCAAAAAGCTAGTACATGCAGTAGGGATAAATCCCAGTGCCAATGCCAGTGGCCCCTCATTCTGCCCCAGCCATGCAGCTGTCAACCACATTCAGAGGGACTAGTTTGGTCCTATGCTTGTTTCTTCCCAGTCCAGCTGGAGTTGGTGAGCTCCCATTAGCTCAGGTAGACTGTTTCAGTGGATGAACCCTTCGTGGTCTTGACCTCTTGGCTCATATTCTCATTTCTTCCACTCTTCAACTGGACCTTGGGAGCTCAGAACATTTTTTTAATAAAACTCTGAGACTTTTAGGACATTTTCTATTAATAGCTGATCAATATCATCATTATCTTGTGCTAGAGGTCCTGGGTAGACCCGTATGGGATCTAATATGTGTTATACACAATGGATGATTTCTATTTCTGATTTCTTATTATATTTTAAAATAATGAAATTAATTTTTGCATAACCTGGAATATGTTTAGTGGTTTAAATATGTGAAACAGTAACTATTATATTAAGAAACTGCTATAACTGAATGTTGACATGTAGAATAATGCAAACATATTCACATATATGGACATGCACAAACTCGAGGTGGGAGCTGGGTGTGGTTGGTTGTGAACACCTTTAATCTTAAAACTCAGGAGGCAGAAGCAGGCAGACCTCTGTGAATTCAAGGCCAGCCTGGTCTATAAAGTAGTTACACAGAGAAACCCTCCCTGGAAATAACAAAACCAAAATATTCCCTCAAGATGGGATGCCTTGTTCAGCTTTGATGTAGGTGGGAGGGGCTTGGTCCTGCCTCAACTTGATGTGTCAAGCTTCATTGACTCCCCAAGGGAGGCCTTACTGTTTCTGGAGACTGGAGGGGGGTGAGATGGGAAGAGGTGGGAGGGAGTGGAAGGAGGTTAGGGAGGGGGAACTGTGGTTGGTATGTATCATGAATAAAAATTTAAAATAAAATTTATTTTCTTAAAGAAAAGAGAATTATTGTGGGAGAATGAGTGAAGGCAAAATATCTAAAATACAATCAAGCTTTTGGTCCAAGCAGTCCACACATGCATCCTGTAATTTCTTGCTACCAAAGCCAATTCTCTCTCAGCCTCAGCTTATAATTTTCTTGGCCTACTTAAAACCTTATAAATTACTTAGCTCTTGAGTAGTTAATCCAATTATAGGCCATATCCTGTTAATATCTCTCAATATTTTTTTGAAAACCAGTGAGTTTGTAATTGATCTCTCCTGACTTATACTTTCTGTGGTCAAAATTTTTATAAACCTATCTTATATTCTAGATAAGGGATAGAAACTCCTCTTTGTATTTTTTCAGTAGTAATTTGTAATCCTCAGCAAGCCAAAATTCTCTTTACTTCATCAAATATTTTTTCTAAGGTATCTGTGTCTGAATTCTCCAGTAAGATATCATCCAAATAATGATAAATGTAAGAATGAGGAAACTTTAAAAAAATTCTTTCTAATAGCCATTGTACAAACTATTGACACAAGATGGGGTTGCTTAACATTGCTTGTGGAAGAATTTTCCAGTGCCTTTGAACAGGATGAACATTATTATGAGTAGGCACTTTGAAGGCAAGTTTTTCTTTATCCTGTTCATGTAAAGGTATAATAACAAAGTACACTTTTAAATCAATCACTAAAATGGATCATATCCTAGGTAATAAAGTAGGACAGGGAATGCCAGGCTATAAAGGGCCCATTGTCTGAATCACCTTATTTATGATTCTCAAATCTGTTAACATTCTCTATGTTCCAGATTTATTTATTTTTTTATGACAAATAAAGGAGATAATTCCAAGGACTGGTCGATTCTTCAATATTTTGAGCATTTAGCTGCTCCTGTGCCAGCTGTCCTAGTTCCTGTAATTTGAACGATGTCAAAGTCCATTGTTCCACCCTCACAGGTTTGTCAGTTAGCCATTTTATAGATAGGGTAGTTGTACCCTTGGAAAACTAACAACTGTTGTGTCCGGCTCATCTACAACCTGAATTGTCAGTCTCTGAGTGCTCTTGATAATACCTTTTACACAGAAACTGTATTAATTACATCACTGTATAACCAATGGCTCAGGCATATTCCAAGTTAGCTCTTACATCTTAAATAAACCCATTTTTATTAATCTATGTATTGCCACAAGGCTGTGACTTACTGGTAATATTCTGGCATCTTTCTCCTTTGGGGGCTACATGGTATCTCTTTGAATCCACCAATTTTCTCTCTCTATCTCTGTTCAGATTTTCCATCTGGCTTTACTCTTCTAAGCCATTGGCCAAAACAGCTTTATTCATCTATCAATAAAACAAGATATATACAGAAGGATATCTTCATCATCTTCCCACTTCTGTCTAACTTAAAAGTTAAAATTAGTTTTAATTTTAACATAGTAAACATTACATATACAAAATTGTTATCAAAGAAGAATTATAGTTACCATATTTAGTCAACTTACATTTAGCAAATTAAGGTAAAGTCTATCATCTATCCTATCTTTGCAAGTCTAACTTTTTATATTCAATTTGCACACACTAAAGAAATCTGTAACTGTACAGATTACTTGGGTGTTGGTGTTTGGGAAATAAAAGTATATTCTCCGTTTATACTAAACAAGTGGGCCGGAGATGGATTAAAAAAAAATTCTAGCTAAGGACAAGACAATGACTAAGCAAGAAAGAAAGCCAGAAAAGAATATTTCTTTGTGAAAAAATAATATCTTTTAATGCTTTTCTCAGAAGTATTCTTCATTTTATGGTTTGTTTCTGAGATTGGAGGAACATTAATCTGTGTTTTCTATTGCTGCAAGAAATCACGTCCCCATAAATTCATGGGTATATTAGCCACATATGGCTTTAATTTTTCTATTTGTCCTTCTGACCCTAGACACTCAATCCACATTGCACTTAGTTTTACCTGAGATAAAGATCCAAACACTAGAAGCTGAATATTTATCCCCCAAAGAGGTCAACATGAATGTCAAGATCTTGATGAAATTATTGTTACATCTGTTCCTGTGTCCTCTAAACCTTCAGTTCGGATGCCATTTATTTGTACTTTTAGCTTTGGTGTCTGATCATTTATAGCAGTTTGCCCAAATATTTGTTTTCTGGTTCTCTTGAAGTTTTTGTTTTATCTACTGAAGCTGTTCTGTCCTTGATTATATCCAAAGCAGTGTTGTTTTTAAAAACAGAAATTAAATCTTTCAATTGCTCTGTGGATGAGTTTCTCTGAGGCTGACAGGGAATGATTGGATCTAATTTGATATCAGGGCCTGGAGGAAGCCCCCTAGGGCATTCCCCAATAGCAAAAGGGACTTTGCCTGTCCCTTGTTGATTCATTAGTACAATGCCTTTGCCACACCTTCTGTATATCCAGAATGCTAGGGCTTTCTTTTTCAATTATCTCTAGAAAAAAATATTGTTTCTAGGAATGCCTTGCCTACAGTACCTTTTCAAATGTCCTTGATGTCTGACATTTTGATTTTTCTTAAAACTTTCAGAAATTATTTCTCTTATCAGAATTGTACCATAAATGTGAGATCCAATTTCAGCCAAATTTCTCGTCCATTCATCTATTGGTGCTGATCTTGTCTTTAAAGACTGAATCACACTTTTGCATTCTGAATCAGTATTTTTCAAAAACCACAGACTCTATTACTATTTGTTTGACTTCTGAATCTGATGCTATTCTATTTATAGTTGAAGTCTATCTTTACAAAAACCTCAGTGAAAGCTTCTTTGAGGCCTTGCATAATTTTATTAAATGACTGAGACCTTGTTCCTGATTCTTCAACCTTGTCCCAAGCATTTAAAGCTGCTAAATAATGTCGCGTGTGATCACAAGGTGTTATCTTCCAATTTAAACTGCCTGTGTAAGTCAGTATATTGACCTTCACCTAGAACCCAATCTTGGGGAATATCAATACCTTATGCACTATTTTGTTGCGCTATGGCCCTAGCTTCCTCTTTTGACCATGTTCGCCATTGTCACTGAGGACCAGCTTCCAATATTGCTGTTGCCAACTCTTTTCAGTCTTGGGGATCAATCTTGTTCTGAGTTGCCCATGACTTTATCTGCTTCACAAAGGATGAATGCATAATATATGAAACAACAGCTTCTTTAAATCTTCTCAAATCTATTATTTTTATAAGATATCATTTATCTTCCTCATAACCTTAGGGGTGCCTATCATCCACTGGTAGCTCTTGTATAGTAACTAGATAAACTAAGGTTGGTTTTCTAACAACCTTGGTCACCCCTCTTCAGTTTCCTCATGTGGTGCTACAGTAGGCTTTGTCTAAATTATTTTCTCTGTGTCTGAGTATTTTTCTCACTTTCATTTGTAAGTCTTTCTATGACTTGTATCTTATCAATCCACTTTCATACTTGACACAAATGCCCACTATGACTAATAAGGATATAATATGAATTACCAGGTTGATAGTAATCATAATCAGTATTATATCAATTTCCGTTAAGTCATTTACCTTTTCATTTTCTGCTTCTA